ATATTGCATATTGCTTAAATGGTTTCATGCTGGCTCACATTAAAAACGATTCCCAAGTGAAGATGACAAAGGGGAAATATTCGTTATTTAGTTCTTTTCTTACGTTAAGCGATCATAATAAAGTACATTTCTGGGTTGCATTCTCTAGGGTGCCTTTTGCTAAATAAATGGCCAAAAATAACTTTCCCTTCCAGTAAGATTTCATGATTCAGCACATTCAACTTTCACTATAAAAGCTTGAAGTAAAGAGTACAAAACAAGCCTAGAAGTAAGAAACAGGCGAGAAAAAGCGATGGATACAGGAGGGTGAGGCTCACATTCCCACAAGAGTGCTTTCTGTTTCAGACAAAGCTCGGCAATAAGAAAGTTGTCTTTATTCAGGTATCTACATCACACTTAGGTTTGGAAGAAGCAGATGGATAAAATTAGTAGGATCTTTCGCGAGTCCCAGGTTCTCCCGGAAGAGGCAAATTAGAAAAAGTGCAGCAGCCCTGGGTAAGGGCCTGGGCTAATCAGCCCCTCCCAACCCCGGGCGGCCATCAAGTTGGGGATGCAGTTCACACCCCTGCCTGACCCCTTTTCTGTTCCAGAGCAGCAGCTCCAGATACTTATGAGAAAGGTTACACCGCTGGTCATTTGCTGGGTGACATCAAAAGTGGGAGTGGAGTGGTTAGGTTTGCCTGGCCTCTGAAGTGCAGCCGAAGCCCTCGTTCACTGAGATTGCTCTAAACGCAAAGCTCATCTAGGAGCCGTCCAGGCGTTTTGTTGTTGTTGTTGTTGTTGTTTTTCCCCATAGCGTGGCTTTATTGGAGAACCCCAGCCCTTCTCTGTCTTTGTGGGCGATCTCTTGCCTCTTCCCATTTCATTTTCGCCGTCACGGGGCCTAGTATAGTACTTTTCATTAAGTTATCCGTATCCAGGAAGATGTCCTCTCACCCACTTTACCAAAATGGGCAGGGGGAATCCGAGCCATCTCCTGCCCACGGGGGTGTGCGCTCATCCACACAGACAGCTTCAAGCCGCCCAGGGCCTGGGACCCGTTTCCAGATGCCCTGCGAAGAGGTGTCCACAGCAGCGGCGCATCGCTCCAGGCCTGGCGCACTCTTTTGGCCAAGGCGGCTCACGAATGCCCTCGGGCCTCCGAGGAAAGAGAGGAGCTCAGGTCCTTGCAAAGGGACCTCCCCGCGGAGGAACCCCGCGCGTGGCCCAGGAGGCCTCTCCTCCAGGTGGCCAGCGCCGGGCGCAGCTGCGGCGCCGGGGCGCAGTGGCAGGCGGGCCGTGGGGCCGCCTACGGGCACCTCCACGCGCCCCCGCTCGGCCCTAGCCTGCCGCGCCGCCGCCGCCCGCAGTGGAAGGCAGTGTGGCGCGTGCGCACTGGCGCGCTCGCGGCCGGGCCCGTGGGCTCTCCCGGGAGGGCGGGAGGTGGGAACGTGGGAAGGCTCCGGGCCGCACACCTCCCGGCCCACCGCCGGCGCCGCCGACACCTCGCGGCCAAGGGCGTCCGCGATGCCCGTCGAGTGAGCGGCACAGGTAAGCGCGCTCTCGATCCCGTCGGGGGCTCCCCGCCCCAGTCCGCGGCCCCCAGGCGGCCGCGGCGCCAGCAAAGTTGAACTTCGCGCGTCGCGGGCGGGACGCTGAACGCTGGGGACCAGGGTGCTGGGGCCCGGGAGCCGGGTGCGCTCCTCTCGCCTGCGGGCGCGCGGGCGGGGTGGCGGCGGAGGCGCGGGGTGGGAAGGGGAATGCGGGAGCCCATGACCATGAGCTGCGCCCAGGCCTGGCCTCGCAGTGAACTTTTGCGCCGCGCCCTGGCAGCGTCTTGGTTCCTGGCGAGCACTGCCTGGGCGGCCTCCGGTGGCCTCTGCTCGCGGCCTTCCCGGCGGGCCTGCGGGGAGGCGATCGTGTGCCAGGGATTCTTGGCGCGGGGGAGGCGCGTACCGGTGCGGGCGAAGATCTGGGGTTCCGAGGATTTAGCTGAAGGACCCCGGGTTTTTCACTCCTCGTCCTCCCCCAGTACAAACGCCAGACCCTTGGAGGGAGGGATGGGGAAGGTCGAAGCGCCTACGTGCCTGGACGACAACGCAGGAAGCAATTAAAACTCCTCCTTTCGGATTAACAACCAAAAATTGATCGATGTGTCAGGAATACCATTGATTTATGAAAGGTGCTTATTTCTCTGGTATGGAGAATTTTATGTTCTCCAGGTGAAACCGAGTTCACCCAGCTCCAGCGTAGATTGATGTTTTAATAAAAATAAATAAAGGGGAAAAGCTCGCCTGGTCTTTGGGGACATCAAGTCTCAAATCGCAGAGTTAGACTAACAAATCAAATTGCATTATCTTTACATTTCATATCTTTTAATCTTGTGCCTAAAAATCACAGGCAGGAGAGCGCCTTCATTTCGAAAGTTTTAATATAGTGCTTAAAAGTCCGCGTAACTAGCAATCAATGTTTCATAAGCAAAATGGCACGGGAGCGTCGGGTAATTGTGATAAGTGGCAGGCGCGGGGCGAGCGCGGCGGCGGCGGCGGCGACGGCGGGAGGAGGAGCGGGCTCTGGACACGGAGAGGGAGGAGGAACCGTCCTCTGAGAGTTTGCTGGCGCCCGTAGATGGCGCCCTGGCCCCACGCTAGGCCCGGGATCCGCGGCTCCGTCGGGCGGCGCGCGGGCGGGGGAGCCGGCGGGGGCGCGGGGCTCGGGGCTCTACGCTTGCGGTCGACTTGGACCGGGGCGGCACGGCTAAGGAGGAAAAAAAAAATTAAGCTTATTGTTGCCATTTTAAAATTAAGGCCTGGGCAGTCGTTTGGGTCGGATGGGGGTCCGTGAGTCCAAGGCGTCACTGGGAGTGGAGGGATTCCCGCCCCCCCAAGACGCGCAACCGGCTGCAGCCCAGCCCGGGTGGCGCTAACGCAGCCCCAGTCCCG